TGTGTTTGACTACGCATGGATTGTATTTTTTTTTTTTTTTTTTTTTTTGGGTTTTCTCGTTCACTGCTGTGCAGGTTGGGAAGGGATCGGACACGATTGCTTGAGAAATTCGTCTCGATACCACCGCCTAACTTCGACCGCCTTTCTATAAACACCCGCTTAAGTTTGACTATGAACGTTTATCTTCATTTCCTCCCTCCCCCCTTCCCCTTCTCCTAGATGATGCAAGCGCCAGCATTTAACGCAAGTTTCTTCTCCTTCCATATCAAGCGACCTGTTCTTTTACGTCGTTTAATCTCCAAAACTAGAACCAGCGACTCGACCGTCGATGTCCACTTTTTCCCCGCATGACGCAAATGACATGATTTATATACCCAACCTCCACCCCCCCCCCTCCTTTCTCTCCCTCTCACCTCTACATCCCTGCAAATCGAAACTGCATGACTGTTATCTAAGATCGAGGATTATCCGGGCTTTTGTGTTTTTATTCGCTGCATGCATTTGCTCCTACCTCCTTTCCTATCAGTCTGTCGCCGGGTGGCTGCATCTTTGGGAGTTCAGTAGCTGCCCACATGCGATGGGCGGTAGTTCATACACAGCGGATAAATGGAACGGGTTGACTTCATCAGATGAACCCAGGAAGGTGGGGGGGTGGGGTTAATTACCTCTTTCTCTCCTGCTACGGTTGAGAGGATATGATATGATATGATATGACACAGACCATAAACACACCACACGCCCGCGCACATGGACACGATCTGCTTGCTTTTCTGGCCACTTATATATTTTATACGCACTCGACCAGGTGCGAGATGCTTTTGATATCATTGGTTTTCTCGTTTTCATTTTTTTCATTTCTCCAATTTTGATTTCCATCCCGGCTTCGAATTTTGGTCTTCTTTATCACTTTTTTTTTTTTTTTTTTTTTTTTTTTTTTTTTTTCCCGCCTTTGGTTTGGATGGATATGGAAATGCGGGCAAGGAAGAAAAGAAGGTAGATATAAATACTACCTCGTGGAATTTGGAGTTAACTAGCTCTTATGTCTTTATTTTATTTTCTAATTTTCATTTTTCATTTCATTTTATTTTATTTTATATTTTTTTCTAAATTTTTTGATTCAATCCATTTCTTCATTTTTCTTTTTTCTGGCTGGATTTTACAACAACTCCTCCTTTTATTTATTGACCAGATACCAACCGATTCGATATGAGTTCCCATGTTCTCCGCGACTATACTTCTTCTTTTTTTGCGCCTTTCAGTCTTTCCGTTTATATATTTTCATTGTTTAGGTTTGTTCCGTTTGGCAACCATCCGTCCCTGCCTCCCTTCTTTGTTTTTTCCCTTACCATTGGTTATGCAAGCCATATGATATAACTACTGCAGACTCGTCCGGCTTCCCGGGTCCTTTTGTCATGTATTTCGTTTCTCTTCTTCTTCTTCTTCTTCTTCTTCTTCTTCTTCTTCTTCTTCTTCTAGTTTTTTAACACTCTCTCAGTTTTAATCTATTCTCTTCTTCTCTCATTCCCCGTTTCTCGTTTCTCGCATTTTTCACTTCGCCTTCTATACATCCGTCCCAACCTATTAAAATTGCTTCATCCGCAATCGAGAACGGTACCAGACATGCCATGCTATCCATGGATCTATCTAGAATACCCTATACCCCCAATCAAGGCGCCCGCTCATATCTATCGACTTTTTTTCTTCTTTCTTTCTTTCTTTTATTTATATTCTTTTTGAACTTCTTACCTTTCCATGACCAAGCTGCCATGCCCGCGTGGTGTTTGTTCATATTCAATTTACCCCTTTATAATGAAAGAAAAAGAAAACAAAAAATGATGCGAATGAGAAAGAAAGAATACATAGTTTGTCATGCGTGTATAGCATTCTCAATGCGTAGGTTGATATAGATATCGGCAAATCCTATATATCCCGCCAAAAGAAATGAGAGGGGAAGATTTGGTGGATGAGCTGTGCTGGCGAGAGGCTCCTATATATATATATATAATGGATTCGATTATATCGCGCCGTCAAAACTGACCAACCAACCAACATACACAGATTTGTCTGTACAGTACATACCAAGGTACCCCTTGCCCCCCAATAATGAACTTGAACAAGTTGAACGGAGGAGCATCTCACCCTCGAAATCGAGCACTGCCTGTCAACAGCGTCAACCCCCCTAGTTAAGCGCCCGCCCAGTATGACTAATTACCCGTCATTAACTAGCCGCCCAATCAAGGCCCGCAGTGGCTATCCGCGCCGCGTGATTGGCCCACGCCGCCCAGGCCCCAAAGCTCCTTTCATCGACGGAGCAAAGCTACTTGGACGCTGTGTAAACCTCTCACACTTCTCACACCTCCACATCGATCCTCTCCCTCGCCTGGCGAACTCCCCTCGTCATTAGCCAGCCGTCCAATCTCGTCGCTGGCACGATGACTTAACCTGCCTCGCCTCTTCCTGGGCCCGCCATAACCCCCCTTCGCAGCTGAGCCGGACACTCTGCTCCATGCGCTGCTCCATGCGTCTGACTGCGTCTGGTTGGTCGGGTTGGCCCTGTATACATACTACATCCAGACAGCGCAGGCGGCTACAGCTCTCTGTATCATTATGGCTTTCTCCTTCTCCTTCTTCTTCTTCTTCTTCGCCCTTGATCTCCATGTCCTTGTTACATGCACGAGGGCCCATAGGCTTTAACATGCAGGTACTCCCGTCTCTTGATTGGTGGAGGATGGGGAGCTCGCTGTATTTCTTCTTTTCTCTTTTCTAGTATTTTATTTTTTTTTATTTTATTTTTTCATTTTTTTTCCCCCTTGGTTTGGTGACCTCGTGGTGGCGCTGTTTCCCTGCTATAATTATCCTCGGTCTTCTCCACCTGGGTTTGATTGCGAAATGGTGGTGCAGGGCGCCAAAATGGAATGGATAGATAGTTGTACCTATCCAGACCCCATATCCGCCCCTGGCTGCGGTATTGGGCGTCATAATGAACTTGGCTGGAAGAGCGGAGAAGCGTCTTGAATGGGTTCTTTCTCTCTTCATGGACCTATCTATTTCCTTTCTGGCTGGTTCTTGGTTCTGTTCCTTTTTTCGTGAGTTTGCTATGCTATCTTCCTCTGGCAGCTTCTATTCTCTCTCTCTCTCTCTTCTCTCTCTCTTCTCTCTCTCTTCTCTCTCTCTTCTCTCTCTCTTCTCTCTCTCTCTCTCTCTCTTCTCTCTCTGCCTGTCTGTCTTTCTTTTTCCTCTCACTCTCACATGACACTCTTGATATTTGTCTGGTTTTGTTAAAAAGGCTGTTTGTTTTGTCTTCTTCATTGCATCAAGTATCAAACACCATCATAGGTTCAGTGAATCCCATTCACTGGGTCTCTTTCATTCATTTTTGGACATTTGCACTTTTTTTTTATTGTTCATTACTAGTATTCATTCAATAGATGTTGTTGTCAGTTTCCTGTTTCACCGGCAACAGGATTTATTTCTCTTTTGACCTGCCCTGACAGAAGCTCATTTTTCAATAAGTAAACAGTGGACATTCACTTCTATTGTTTGCTGTTGTTCACCTCATCTCTCTTTGTGAGGATATCTAACTTTTGAGGAAATCCTGTACAATGTCAGCTTGATGATTTGCTTCTACTTCTGCATGTGTTACGAACGCCTCTGATTTTACCCGGCAGCTGGATGCTTTTTATACTTGTATCATCTATGGTAAGCCCCTCCTTCTTGTATGGCCCATTTTTCATCCGACATATATTGACTTACAAAGCGCAACCTTTTTTAGCCGATCTGTCGTTTTATGACCTAGCAAGATGAATGACTATAATGCGCAGTACAAGGTCCCGCCGATGGCCGCTTCGTACCTTCGTGCACAAAATATCCCCACGTTCCCATTGTCTTCTCCTATAAAAGAAGAGATATACACCCCTTTCGAATCACCCGACAGTTCGCAATTGGCAGCGGCAGCACCAGCACAGGACAATGAAAACCCCCTTTCCTGGTCCGAGGACTATTTTACTCTGGGGCAAACTCGTTTTGAAGCCGGCAATGCGAAACGGTTTGATGGCCAAACGGAGGATAACGAGAAGCTTCTTGGCGAAAACTCTCAAGCTCCCCGCCCCAGCCGTTGGGATTCCATTAAACGTCCCGGTCGAACTATCATGAAACGAAACCATGGGGAGGCTGCAACGAACAAGAAAACGCGCCCTGGGCTCAACCTCGTCACGAACTTTTCCAATGATACGAAATATAGACGGGATGCGGTGTCGAAGCGTCGGCAGTCGGCTGGTGGGAGAGGATATATTGACCTGAATGACCTGAGGTTTCTCTCGAAGGGGAAAGAAACTACTGCTAGGCCAGCACATGCGAACAGACTGCTGCCGGAACGGAGACTGTCGTCAACAAGGGGTTATGGGGAGATCAAAGACGATGTCGAAGATACCTCACAGGGCGTGCAGGCCGCTTCCTTTGTTAAGCAAATGAAGAAATCTCCCCTGGATGCCTTGCGGGTTTCTCCTAGCAAAACGCAGGATTTATCGCCCTCCGACCTCCCTATTATGATTGGACTGAGCGTTCCATACCGCGACGCCGCTAGCCCGGGAAAAACAAAAAAGCTCGCGGGTGACAGCACTCCGGCTCAGAACAATGTTGGGACTCCAAACAGCCAAAGAAGCACAAATACTACGCCGATTACCCCGACCATCATCATCACGCCCGCGAGAGAGGATAATCCTTGGGATACCTTTAGCAGTGGAAGCCCGGAAGCACGCCGGACACGACCTCCGTCGAGCGTCTATTCTCAACCGACGCCACGGGTGAAAGATGGTCGCCCACCGTCGATAATTCCACCGGTCCCTGCCATTCCTGCCTCACATTCCTTCACCAAACCCGCTGAGGCTCGTGAGGTATTTGACGACCAAGTTTCAACCCCTACGCGAAGAAATCGTGCTTTTTCTGTGGGGACAGTTTTCGAAGATGACTCGCCGGACTGTCGACGGACGGGTCGTCCGCGATCCTTGTCGGATGAAAGTAAACTGCAAGCGGGGATACCTAGCAGATACAGCATGGACACCATCGCTACAAGACCACGGTCGCAAGGGTGGTGGAACTTGTTGCTCTCCCCGCTCCTGTCAAGATCAAACACCATCGCCAGTAAAATGAGTTTAAGGTCACCCCAAGATGAAACACTGCCGGCTATTCCCCCGTTTCCGTTTGCTGTTTCACAGCAGCTGCAAGTTCACGTTAATAACAACAATAATAATAATAAGTACGGGGAGAAACAGTTCGACGAGGAAGTTTCTTTCTTTTCACCAGATACCCCGTATAGCGGTGAGGAGAAAGAGAGCGTTTGGGAATCTGCCGCAGGCACAGTTGGCAAACCAAGTGGTGAATGTGAAGGATCCAGCTCTGATGATGATGAGTGGGACGATGATGATTGCTCACAGCCGTCTTCACGGAAATCGAGGAATAAGTCTTCTCACATTTCCACAGTTTCTGCACAGACCATTCCCTTCATGATCTCCAGCCCTACTTCCGCTGGCTATACCCAGGAACAATTTCACCAGAGTCTACACAACTACTTTATTCCCACAAAACAAAGTCCACCACCACCATTGCCGTCTACGAGTCATATTACTGGATTTTCTGGCAACAGCAACGTCGCCGCTTTTCCACCTGTGCCTGGAGAGAACGTTCAAATCCAGAATCAAAATCCCAACAACCCGTTTTTCCAACGATTCGTAGAGAGCATACGGAGAGGAGCGGAGCCAAGGGAACGCTCGAATTCTGATTCAACTGTGATCGAAGACGAACCGGATGTTTCCCCCAACGTTCGCCAAGCTACGGTAACTCCCTTGCTCAGAGCTGCGCCAATAGGGCCTTTCCAGACTGGCCCAACGGGACCTCTGCCACCGATCCCTCGACGGGTGTCCCCCGCACACAAGGTCTCAGAAAACTCACCAAGTATAAGCGTCGGAACGTCAAGCAACCAACCTCCGCCTTACTCTCCACCTAACAAGGTCACAAAGGTTCGGCGGTATAGAGCTATCTTTCCTTCCGATTTGCACCCGCAGCCTCAATCACCAGGACCTCTATCCCCCGAAGGACAGACACAAATGGCGTCGAGAGGTGGAATACTCCTGTCCAGTATGCGGCAAGCGGAGGCCCCGGAGGCCCCGCAGGCCCCGCAGGCCCCAGCAGCAACGTACCACGCCAGGAATGATCCTCTACCGCGAGGTGTTTTACCGCCCCGTCTGCCAAACAACCCTGTGCACCTCTCGGACATCGAGAGACCCGGGGATGTACGAGTACAGAACGAATCTAGGCGCCAGAGGTTAGAACGCGAGGACCGAATGGCTAGGAAGGTCGGCGGCCTGTGGCGCGGCAGGGGCTGTTTGAGTAACAGAGGCTGCTTTGGTAGATCTGGTCGAGAAGGCAGAAAGCGACGCCGGTGGTACATGTGCATTGCAGTTGTTTTAATCACCATCATTATTGTCAGTGTTGTGCTCGCTATCACTCTCACGAGAAAGCGTGATGATGCACCCGAGTCACGCTGGTTGAACCTGACGGGCTATCCACCCATGCCAACTGGGGTTTCAACCATTGCGGGCCCGAATGCAGCCGTCGCCAACTCCGGGTGCATACGCCCAACATCGATGTGGAGCTGTGCGTTGCCAAAGGAAAACCAGGATGCAAACAAGCCCTTTGACCCGGACCAACCGAACTTCAGGATCCAGATCAATTTCCAGAACGGCACCTTTTCTCATAGCACAGTCCCTTTAAATAGGAAACGATCGACCTCCACATTCCCGGATAATTTGGGCTCCAGCCGTCGTCGATCGCTGCAGGGACGGAGCGGCGGATTGTCTCCGATCCCTGCCCCACCGGGACTTGAAGAACAGGCATTCCTGGGAAACACGTCTGATGGAGTAACTGCACCATTTGCGGGGGAAGATACACCGTTTTTCGCAACCTTCCTCTCTCCAGAGCCGATAAAAATATCTACCCGCCAACGGCGCGCAGACACTCCTCCACCACACGGCACTGACGCTGACGCCGATGACCTACGGGACGCCATCCCCGACCCAGCGCACAACCCCGACGGGACTGCCGCACCCGCAAACCTCCTCCCGCTCCCTATCGCCCAGCCGATCCGTCTGTATGACCGCGGTCTCCCTACCGAACACTACGGCTTCTACACCTACTTCGACCGCTCCATCTTCCTCAAAGCCGACAGGCCTCTGACCAACGACTCCGTTCTAGCCGTAGCGCCTGACGACCAAAACGGCGGCTCAACGCGCTCCGCCGCTCGCACCCGCTGCACCTGGACGCAGACCCGGTTCCTCGTACAGATCTGGACGCAGCCTTCGCAGAATAGCATGGGCCTGATCCCGCTGCAGCCATCGCTAACCCCGACGCCGGGCTCTTCCTCTCCTCCCGCGCCCGAGTCCTCCACGGCAGTACCCTTCCCCACCGCCGCGACAGACTTCACGCGCCCGGGCTCCTTCCCCTACCCCATCACCATCGTCTTGGACAGACACGGCGGCGATCCAAAGTCCAAGATGGTCTACTGCTACCAGCTCGATTTGGAGCAACGGTACGTGTTATCTTCGAAGGCGCTGCAGGTGGAGGATCGGGGGTACGGGGGCCAGCTGGTCAACCCGGGGTCGTTGCTTGGTGGGAGCGCGAGGGGTACTTCCTCAGCAGGGGGGTTTGATGGCGGCACCGGGGGATGCCGGTGCGAGTGGCGGAATTGGCTGGCGGTGCGATGAGATTGGCAGCGTGTGATGGTGTATTTGTAAAAGTGTTAACATATACGTATTATACATGGTTATTGCATTATTTCTTATTTATTGATGTCCTCCGTGCTGTGTTTGCCTGATGGCCCTGATTGGCTTTGATTTGGCTTTGATTTGATGTCCGTGATTTTGAGTACTGAAAATGGTTTATGTTGAAAATTAATCCATCTTCATGGGTTTGTTCAGCTTGTACAGTCCTTGTTGAATATATGTATGTACTACGGAGTACATTACGCTTGATTGAAAATAATTTATCCTTTTTTTTTTTTTTCGCCTGTAGTGTTCCTTATGTATGTATGTATGTATGTATGCCCAGTCCCTGGTGCTGGGTTTTTTGTCTTTTCTGTCTTCTCTTGCTTTTTGTTATGTTCATTTTGTACAGCACTTTGATTAGTTAGTTATAACTTATGAATCTGGATTATATTAGCAACTGTACATAGTATAGTTATACGGAGTAGTTAACTAGTTATAGTTAACTATGTCATTTCCCCATTCGAGCGTTGAACGGCTGTGTGAGCACAGCCCCAGCCTCGGTCGGGGGTTAATGAATACCTTTATCCAGCACGGCGGGGCCTCCGCGAAAATGTAACATTATTAACTACTAGTAGACCAACAATGCCAACGGGCGACGCTCCAACCTTAAGCATCAGCGGAGATCCCCACCCCCCGCCCACCATCCTGGGCTGCGCAAGAGTTGGGTGGAGGGGCGTATCTGAGACTTGCGTAGGAGAGCGTTAAACAGGGATGTTTGTGGGGTTGATTGTTCGGCTTGGCTTGTTTGGCGGCAGGAAGTGCCCGGTTGGCTTCTTTTGCCCCCCGAAAATATAATACTTTATTGTATTCAACATTATTCTACTAGAGTACGGTGTCACTTGATGAGATACCAACTTACTGAGTTTCCGTCGGCAGCAAAACCAGGAACTGCTTGCTGTCTCCCCATTCTGATTGCCTCGTGCTGCACCATCCCAGGAAGACGCTCACGACGCTCCTCTGCAGAAGTGAGAGCCAGGCGACGATGTTCAGCCCGGCCAATGAGCTGGTGCCCGAGCTGCGGGGGGGGCTTGCGGCCAAGATGCGAGCGGCGTAACGTCTTGGCGCAGGCCCAGCGGCTCGGCGGTCAATCTCGAGTGAGAATTGGTATGACGACCAACACGGCCGGGTCTAGTGGGCGCTTGAGTTGATTGGTACCTCTGGATTATTCCAGGGGTGCCTATGCTGGAAATCCAGGGTTGATAGAATTCCTTGCGTTTTCCATTGTTGGTAGTTCGTTTGTGGGTAGGTCAAACATTTATTCCGCTCCTGACAACCCTAACCAAATACCTTGATATGAACACCATATCCATTGCATCGAGCCTTCTGCAGGGTGGCGGAGGATCTCCTTATGGCCTCTCCCTGGGACACGAGGGATGATTCCCCAGTGTCCACTCGGTCCGCTCTGTGAAGCATCTCTCGCACCCTTTTTCCTTGTTTGAGGTGCGGAGTCTGGCAGAAGGGCTTTGGCGTCCCACCCCTGGACAGATGTCATTCTCCTGCTTGTTGGGTGTTTTGCGCACGAGAGGATTGGCACGATTGGCACTGTTGGCTGAGGGCCCCGTATCCAACCATCAGTGCTGGCTGGGGTCTGCCCCAAGTTTCGAATCGAAGCTTGGCATGCTCAGTCTGGCATTCGCCATGATGCTATGATGGAGCTGAATCCTGTTGTCATACTATGTAAGATGGGGGGTGAGGAGTGGAAATAAAGATCCGCCGTCACCCCAAATCCCCTGGTCCCCTGCGTTCTGCTTTTTTCTCGCATCTCCTGCTGGCGACATCCCTCCCCTCTTCTTTTGACAGACACTTCCCCGCCCCGTTTCGAGGCCTTCCCATCAAACCCCAGTAGCAATGTCGTCCAACGACCTGAGGGAGGAAGCTGTCTCTACAGAGAAGACCCAGCCCCTGAAGCACGTCCAGAGTCCTGGCGTGGTTGAAACAATGGAGCGGGTGGAAGAGCCAAAGAAAACCCTGTGGGAGAAAGTGAAAACGCCCGGCTCGGTATACCAGATTCTTATCTCTGCTGCCATCGCCATCGCGATCGGTTTCGCTGTGAACACAACGGTGGACAAAGTGCCTGTTGCCGCTGTCGATCTCTGCGGCATACCTGGCCGAATCTGGTTGCGCGCTCTCAAAGCTATTGGTAAGTGAGGTAGCCACAAGAACAACCTGTATCCTGTGGTCCCCCTCTCTCCTCGCAAATAAAATTAAATATCCAACAAAAATGAATGTGAAAAAAAAAAGGAAAAAAAAAAAAAAAAAAACGCTTAAAAAGGAAATTGTTTCATTATTTTGTCGAATCTTTGCTGATTTCTCGTTAGTCCTACCGTTGATCGTGGTCTCTCTGATCCTAGCCGTTCAGCGGCTGCGGGAGATGTCGCGCGGTGGAGCACTTCTAGCTCGCTGGACCATTGGATACTACCTTTTTACCACGCTGGTCGCAATCTTTCACAGCACAATCCTCGTGGCATTGGTCTGGAGCAAGCAGTTTTCCGAGGTCGACCCTGATTCGCGCACTGTCGATAAGGACTTGCAAAAAGACATCGACTCACGTTCCGCCTACCAGGCGCATGATATTGTCGTCGAGCTCTTCGACACCCTTGTGCCGGACAACATTGTCGCCGCGTTTGCAAACGACATCCTCCTTGGTGTTCTCGTGGCGTCCATTATTCTTGGCTATATGATTAAGGACCCTGCCACCTCGTC